TTACAGCACAAAGTAAAATGTATATTTTTGGACCACATTTTCCCCCATACATACATATGAAAATTATGCCTAAAATTTTGGGACCACCTTATTGTGTACTCTTTTACAGACTCATCTGTTGTTTGTATTTCAGATGCAATTTATACACTTTTTATATGATACAGTCATCATCTTTACATAACTCTAAGTAAAACACATTTTCTCTAACCTCTATGACTGCATTTCTCTTCTTTTGATTAAATCTGTCCTTAAGTTGCATGGAAGCAAACCAATTAAGATCCTTGCCTTCCTTAAGAATTCTGTCTTGATTTAAGCTTTTAACTATCTTGTTCAAAATACAAAAGATCATCATAGCGCAACCACCTCTAATTTGAACCCATTCATTCCTTAAAAAGGCTTCCTGCAGTGAGCTAGCTAATATTATATTTGGATAAACATTTTGTTTATACTTATACCAAACTCCCAGGAGACCCTTTTTAATACAATATGTGTCTTATCTTTATCATATCAAAGTCAACCATGCCAACTAAAGCTGAAATTATGGTCTTCAAATTCTAGGGAGATTTTCACATAGGCAAAAGTGACAGGAGCACAATGGGATGCTCTCATCACTATCATGCAATTACATGAACATGATTAGATGACATCACACATCATTAACCTGTGAATAAAGAGGAATTACAGTGTCACTTTTTATTCACTGGACTTTCCTGTGAATAAAAAGCCACAGGAGAATTCCTGTTTATTCATGGGTTAATGGTGGGATTATCGCGACATCATACAACATCTGATAATCTTTGTGCAATTGCATGATAGTGACAGGAGCATCCCACTATGCTCCTGCCACTTTTGCCCGTGTGAAAACTTCCCAAGAGTCTCACATCTTTAAGCATTATCCATTCCTAAAATAAAGCAAAACAATAGGCCTCCTAATACAATTTAACATAAAGGAACTCCCAAAACTGCTCCTTCCCTTAGCATCACAGAGTGTTTAAAATTTATTCTGGGTTTGTTTGCTTGCCAGACAAATCTAGAAATGTCTTTCTCCCATTAAACCAAAGACATTCCATTGGTTAGAACTGGGATCATTTGAAAGAGAAATAAAAGTATTGGCAAAACTTTTGCCTTAATACTGTAATTCTGTCTTAAAGGGACAAATTTAACTTTCCCCCTTTTCAAAGTCTCTTTTAATTTCTTTCCAGACCTTTTCATAGTTGTTTTGAAATAATTAACTGTTTTTTTTTGTGTGACTGTAACTCCCAAAAAATCAATCCCCTTTCTTCAACTTCAAAATTTGAAAAAGCACTGCCTCTTCATTGTCCTCTTCTTAAGGCCTAAGCAGACTGCCAGAAATAGTGCACATTAAATTGAGGCACTGCCCTGGCTCAGTGCTAGGGAATCATGGGAACTGTATTTTTTTCTGGGACATTGAGCCTTCTCTGTGAGAGAGCTCTGGTGCCACAATAAATTACAGTTCCCATGATTCCCTAGCATTGAGCCAGGGCAGTGCCTCAATTTAATGTGCACTATTTCTGGCAGTCTGCTTAGGCCCCTTGTCAGCAAGTTTGTTTTGTCACAATTCACTTTGAAGTGTCCCAAACATCTTAATTCCCCCCCCCCAAAAAAAACCTTCATTGAATTCAGTGGTATTTGTGTCATTATCACAAGAACATCCACATAAATGCTTTACTTTCATTCCACAGATTCTGTCATCCTGCCTAATATCTCTCAATAGGGTCTCCAGTACAAAAATAAATAGTAAAGGTGAGAGAGGGCAGCTTTGTCTGGTCCTCTTTTGTATCTGAATGGATATCATTGCATTGTCATTTACTAAGATCTGGGCCTTTCAGACTGAGTAGATTGTCTTTATTCCCTGAATAATATTTTTGACAAAGTCCATACTCTATAGTACTTGAAATAAACAGTTCTAAGAAATATGATCAAACGCTTTCTCTACAGATAAAAAAAATCAAAATGACCTTTTTGTCATTATGATGTTCCAAAAATTTAATAATATTCAGAACAGTTCTTACATTAGTCCTTAATTGTCTTTTTGACAAAAACAAAAACAAAACAAAAAACCACACAAACACATACACACAAAACCACCCTGATCCTCATGGATATTCTAAGAAATGTCTTCTAAACTTGCTTGCCAAGTGTTGACTTAAAACAGACAGTATTTGGTGTGTCTTATAAGCAGCTCTGGTGAAGGACTTGATAAGAAGATTGAAGCAATATCTAGGCAATATTCAGAGAGGAAGCAATATCTCTGCTTATTCAGAGAGGGAAAAAATATCCAATAGATGTGATAATTCATTTCTCATATGAAAGTATTACAAATGAAATATTGAAAGCACTTTCAGAAACAGCTTAAAATAAAAAAGCTTGAAGTAAATGAAAGATTAATGAGACAAGACCTGCTACAGGGACGTCAATAAGTGGGAGCTTTTAGCCTCTCCATCACCTCTCTGGATAGCGAATACATCCATCTGCCACATGATGGTGGTTCCCTGGCTATGCCTGGGTGTACCTATTCTGCATCCATGACATTAGAAATTACCTCTAGGAAAGGTGCTATCAGTCCCTCATGCTTCTGTCTAGCTCTGATCTCAGCTGGGTGCCCCCCGTTATGCTGGACCGTTGATAATCTGTCATTAGACTCATCTTCTCTACCTTTTAAAACAAAACAGGAAAATC